AAGCATATGGCAGAATACCTTGATGGCATCCTAATGAATGTTTATTAGAGAAATCAATCCACATGGCTTTTTAAAATGTTAACCAAATGTCGCATGCAAATTTGCAGAGCATGTCATTATAATTTACATACGTACATCTTAATTATCCTTCTTGACCTACCCTTGTTAATGTCTCGAGTCTAAACTACCCGTCAAGAAAAACTATACTATCAGACCGAGGTGAACATCACAATGTACTTTTCTTAGAAAATGAGTGAAGGAGTAGCAGCCTAAATCTATTCCCTAAAACATATCCACTTCCCTGGGTCCTTCGTGTAAGGGGGGAGGGCAGTTTTTGCAACCCAGAAGTTTCAGAGGGATGGAGAGAAGCTATCAGCACTTAAAGACTCCAGTGGAGAAACACGAGTGGTCGTTAGTTAGGCCGATCCACGGAAGTCCTGCTCTTTTCATAATGCTGCCACTACAAAGGGAGTTCAGCACCCTCTCCCACAGCATCACGGTACAGTTTTTACCCCTGGAGCTGCTGCAGTGCTGTACGTAGGGATCACAGGCTGTGTTCACAACAGCTTCTGGCTACAGCTGTGCCAGCTGAAGTGGTCGCCGCCGCCGCCTCCTATACTCAGCTATCCATCTGTTTACAAGTTATTAATTGGTTATTTTTTCCAACTGATTCCGTACAACCTTTTAGCACCATCAGAGCCAGAGATGTGCTTCTCTTGCATGCAGAGGCGAGGGTGTGCCAGGGTCTGCCCAAGGAAACGAGCCCAGCCCCTAACTGTTGCAACCCCATTTGCCACCTTACCCTTTCAGAAATTTATTGAACTTCATCTAAAAACCAGTGAGGTTTCTACCACCCAGTGTCCCTTGCCTCCCCGACCTAGATTGCTCTTGCAGTTAGGAGACTCCTTGCAACTTTTCACCTAAACTAACTCATGGGATTTACAACCATTTCTTCTCATGCTAATGTTGTCCTTTGGATGAAACTTTTCCATGCATGATGTTTTCATGAGATGCTCGGGGTACTGGAGCTGGAATGGCACACAAAGAAAATGAACCACAGGGCAGCGAGGGATTCTCGTTTGTTTTCTCATTAATGTATCTCATTAATAGAAAACCCAGCTCCCTGTTATAAGGCTTTGCAGCGGTGAAGCTTACCTAATTGGAACAGCACTTATTTAAATGAATGCCATACAACTCTGATGTTTTAATTACACACCTGTTAAACACAAAACAGTTACTAAAGCCCCAGCGAGGTCCGCTGATGGTGCCTTGGGTTTGGAAGATTGTAGTAGTGAATATCTACTCTGGTCTTGGAGAACTCAGCCCATGAGGCAGGTAGTTTGAAAGCTTCAGCCCATTCTAAAAGTGCTGGCTCTAATCCTCAAAAATTTACAGATGCCTAGAAGAACCTGCCAATGCCTCCTGTTCCCTTCGGTGTCCATGGTGTATTTTTGTTTTGTAACTGTTGTTTGTGGTTGCACTACATGGGGCTGCCTTTGCTTGGGTTTGCCTGATCTCAAAGTGAAGTGTGCATCTGTTATGTTGTCTTGACACAGATACTGAAAGGTAAAGGCATCTCGAGATGATACTGTATCTGTTTTATTTCTTGGGCTGGTTTTTGACTGATACATTTGTGAGTGAGAAAGCCCTTCCCTGAGACACAGGGGACCTTGAAATGCAATTGCCAGAACTCTTGAAAGTACCTGACTTGTGTCAGCAAAGAGGCAGGGGAGAAAGGGTAGTCTGAGCGAAAGGCTTGATTTTCTTTAATTCCAGCTTTGCCCCAGCATAACTGTTCCATTATCAGTGGAGCTGCTCCTGCCTTAAGTCAGTGCAAACCAGAAGAGACTTTGGTGCCACAACTTCCATAGGAGGCAGTTATTTTCTGTCAGCAAAACACTGATACACACACACACACACACACAGAGCCAGTGTCAACCCATGCTCTCATCCTTACTACCGTTTTCTTCTTTGTTATCTTGGATCACTCTGTTTCTAGGATTCGTTTGGCTTCAAATTAGCTGCTGGACTCTAAAGGTGCTTATTGTGGGCAGCAGAGTTCATGACCTTCTGTGACTTGTTTAATGCTTCTTTGGTGTACCCTTAAAAAGCCAAACTTAATTCAGCAAGAAGTAGTTAAAATCTTGCTGAGAATGGTATTTTGAGAGTCTACTGACTTGAAAATTTGTTTAATTTCTACTTTCACTTGCAAAACATCATCTCCCTTTGCTTCCTGGAAAAAGGGATGGATAGGCTTCAACTGCAAGGAAAACTCAGCTCTTAGATTTAGTTCTCCGGGGCACTGAGGGAGCTAATTCCCACAGATTTCTCTAGGAAGTGGGCACCTAAGTAGGAGTGGCACCCCTAAAGGCTTTTGTGAGCTCAGCCTGTGCCTAGCATGGGCGGGGAGGGGGGCGCATATTTTGGCAATCCCACAGTGACTCTGTAGGTTTTGCCGCTGTTGGGCATTGAGTCACGGGTGTCCGGCACGCCTGACTACCAAGAAAACACAGCACCGCACGTGGCATAAATGCAGGGAGAGGGGAAGGGCCCAAGAGTAATTGTAGCAGTTGCACTGAAGTCTAGAAGATGAGAAATAACTGATCTAGCACTGGGGGAAAGGGTGACAAACGTTCCCCGTGGTTACTGCAGACCGCAGCCTGTTTTTTTTTTTTAACTGAAGTAGATCAGGTAGCCACTTTAGATTGCTGTTCCTGCAGCCCCCGATATTGGTACAATCTCATCAGCCACTGGGGATAAACCAGAGGTCGCAAATCAGTGAAATTTTGCTTGATTAGCTGTTCTTCCCAAACATAAATGCCTTGCATTTCAAGAAAAACCCCAAATGGTAGAAGCTGGGTTTCCACCACCCTGAATCCGAGAGTTTAGTTTCAGGGTCCATCCGTAATAAAAGCTGTAACTGGGTGGTTGTCACTGTTGATGACTGTTAACTCTGCCTGGCTGTTTTCACGTAAACCCATTTATCTGCCACTTCAAGGGTCAAACTCCTTGGCTGATAGCCAAAAAGTGAGACAAGTCTGAGGGTGGAGAAGCCTGAGAAATGACAGCGGAATGAAAGGAGGAGGAGGAGGAGGATCTTCCTGAAGATTTGCTGGGGATGTTTTGCAAGTTCCCTCCCCGGAGCTTGGGAAGAGTTCTTCAACTGCACACCAGGAGCTGGTGCCCAGATGCTGCCTGTTGGGGCTGCAGGAGCTTGGCGTGCCAATGCTTTCTGCTTTGCTTTCTGTCTTCTCCCAGAGGCCAGTGGCAGGGTTTGAAAACGACACCATTTATAGTCTTTTTCTTTGGTCCTTTTCACTTCATTCTATTATTGCGGTCAGACTCTTCAGATGAAGAATTAGGCTCATTTTCCAGCAGCTGCTGTACAAATGAGTGCCAGACATAGGCAATATTTCTTGGGGGGGGGTGTGGGGGTGTCCTCTGATTCAAGAAAGAAATCCTTCTTGAACAATTATCTTCAGAAAAATCAGTGAAACCCCCCATGTTCAGTTGAGAGTGCTGCTCAGAGAGGTCACGATAAAACATTTTGCTACTGTTTCTGGTTACCAGATGACAAACTTCCACCTATATCATTGATGATTCCATCTTTAACCTTTTCGTCATAAACTTTCTTCTCCTGTTAAATTATAAAGAAATGATGGCGCTTTTTTTGCCAAAAATGGAAAACCGTACTGGATTTTGAAGGCATGAAATATCTCGTCAGAGGAGGAAAATGTGGAAAAAAATCTGGTTTCACTGAATAATTCCTTTGCTTCCTGTACTTCTGCTTTGGTCTCCGCCATGCACACTGGATGTATTTTGTCTGGAGCCCTCCAGAAATATTATTCTGCTGGCCCATTAAGGCCCTTTTTGTGGGTACCACTCAACGGATGTACTTCCAGATGGGGAAATAAGTATCACGAGGGTTAAATTCCACTCTTACATGTTTTAATACATTCACTGAAGGGAAATAAAGATTTGGCAAAGTGCTGAAGGGTGCAGAGGACGTTTCCCAGCTGTCGGAAGGGCAGAATATACAATTCTGGGTACTTTGTACCAACTGCCATGCAAATGTGGCGGCCCTTACTCAGTTCCCATTGCTGAAGGTTAAATGCTGTTCATGTGTAAGCAATAGTGCCCTTCCACCACAGCTCTTATAATTTATTATATAAAACGTAAAATTAATTAAGTACATATCTTCTGAACATAACTCGTAACATTTCTACTTCACTGAGTGCATTGGGAATCCCATTCTGCTGAGCGCTAGAACACATATTTAACTTTGAGTGTGTGATTCCCGTTAACCTAAATGATGCTATTTGCATATATAAGTACTCTGGTGAATCAGGGCCATTATTATTAATGAATGATATTATCTAAATCATTAGGCAGAACTAAATGATAAGCACATCATCTTATAGTTAGAGAGAAAGCACTGATTTCAAGTTCAAAGTGATGTCTTCTTAAATCAGACCAAGTCCCAGAAAGGCAATAACCTTCACTCAAACACCATTTGCCAACTCAGCTGAAATAATCTTGACCTTCTGATAAGGTCTGTACCCAGCACCCCTCTCCCCTCACCAGTGCAGGGAAAGTCGACCGTTAAAATAATTCCAGGATTACAAAAAGCAGGGGAAAAAGTTCTTTCAGTTTCATCTGAAGAATTGCAGGTTTTTTTCTTAAGATTTCTAACAGATTTATTCAGTCAATAGAGTAGTAGGGGAAGAAATGGTTTCAGCTGGGAGCCAGGCTGATGAAAGGATTAATTTATTTTATTTGTATTTTCTATTTTTACTTTTTGGGGGGGGGGAGGAGGGGACAACCTGACCAGAACTGCAGGCGGTAGGTGTGCTTTTTTTCTTCTTTTTTAATGAAAACTATTATATATATAGTTTGATGATGTTTCTTTTTATTAATGATTGGGGGGGGAGGGGGCGATTCGTTTGCTCTTTTCTGTTTTCTTGTGTTTTCTTTTAGATATATTTTTACTGGGCTTTTAGAATAAGTTTATAAAAGTTCCTCACCCCAAATGTCCTAAGGACATTCCTATTGTGGTTTTTCTCCCTAAGTTCAGTCGTAAAATGGTGCTTTCCATAGGCAAACCAGTTTTTAGTGGGGATAAATAAACCCACACAGGCCACGCCTAGGGACCAGGTACCAGTGACCTCTCCCAGACAAAATGGTCTCTCCGAAACTCTTCATTTACATTTACAAAATTCACAAGGGCTATGTTAGGGACCAGTTGACTGAAAATGGTCTCTTCTGATCTTAGGTGGTCTGTTGTAAAGCAATTAGTCTGGCAAGAGTTGCTGTGTCCTCTTCAGTAGCATTCTACAGCCCAAAAGCTCAGGCTTAGCTAGAAGGCTCTGAAATGGCAGTTAAAAGAAACATGTTTTCTTGAAAACAGCAAGCTGTTGGTAGTTACTTACTAAAGCATTGTTATCTCTTGCTATTGTTTTCCCCTCCTCTAAATCCAGCAATGCACTCAAGTTCAGGTTTATCTTTAGACTTTGATTTGCACTGAGATATGTGCAAATGTTTTGCTGGATGAGAGTCTCCCCTTCTTTTACACTTTTTTGTTTTTTTTCCCCTTCCCCTGTTTTTGTCCCTATTGCTTCCAGATGTCTTTGTCCCAGACAGGATGGTTACTTTCTTTTCTGCATTTTCAGAAAATCTGTTGGTCACATTTTGATCATTTTTCTGTTCGCTTTTATTACATATCCCTCCTGCTATACTTCCTCCCTTCTCATACTTCTTCACTGTCAAACATTTGCCATGATGTTTTCATCAGATCAAAAACATGAATTAAGATTGTAGATGTTTGTTGATAGTTTTGGGAGTTGACTGTAAAGCTTCTACTGGTTAAAATGCTAGGCAGCAAGACCAGTTTATCTTTGTAGCTTATGATTTTGTTTGCTTGTTGAAGTTATTTAATACATTTTTTCTTTTTTAAAAAAAAAAAATCCCACTCAGAATTAGTCAGAATATTGCAGACTTTTTTTAAAAGAAAAATCTGCTAAACTTTTTTTTTTATTTTTGCTGCAAAACATGACTTTGTTGAACTGCTGTCACAAAGTTTAGTAGGTTAGATGTATTCATGGTAGGTATGAGAGGACTGGTTGTGAAACTTGTAGAGCAGAACTTGTATTCTTGCTTTCCATTGCACGCTGTTTGTCAGTCCATTCTCTGGTGGGGGGTTGCTGGGAGTGTGAAATTCCATTTTGTGATAATTCCATTGTTTTCTCACAGTAACATTTCAAAATATTGCTTCAGTAAATCTTCCCTTCTAAGGGAAAAAAAAAAAAAAAAAAAAAAAAAAGAAAAAGACTAAGATTTGCTTTTCCCCTGATGTGTACACCACTGGCAGTGCCACAGACCTAGCAGACTGACCCTTGCGAGGAGCCTTCCAAAGGAAGTGTGCTATCTCAGAAGTGCACGTGGCCCGGCAGCGGCAGGGAAGGCAGAGGTACCCGCGCGAGCACCAAGGAGGGAGGTGGAGCAGAAGCGGCAAACAAGGCATCCCAGCAGAGGCCCCCCCCATGCCCTCACCTAGGCTGGTTCTCAGCTGCAGCACGCACTTAGCCCCCGTCATTCTTTCCACTTCTCTAACCAAACAGGATTACTCTATTATTCCTTCTTGTCCCTTGCCATTTTAAATTTCAAGATGGGGTAAACTGGGGCAGAACATTGTCATTGTCGTGTTTCCCTCCCACCCCAACAAAAGGAGGACTAAGAGCATCTTTGATGCAGAGTGGAATGGCCTGACTCCACAACATTCCCATAGTTTTTAATGATGGAAAATTGACTCCAGATGCTGAACAGCACAGTAATGGGAGGGAGTTTCTGATTTATGGGGGGAGCCTGCAGATGTCACAGGCTCTTCAGTGGTGCAGCTCGCAGTGCCTGAGTTACAGGCCATACCTACAATCAGTGCACTGCGAGAAGAGTAGGTCTGAAGAACAAAACGGGTGCTGCCAAGGAACTATCTTGTTTCAGGAGGCTTAATTTTTGCCTGCTCTGAGCTGACACGGTGGTTTGTGCTGTGCCGTGGGGACATTGCTGTCGGTGCCCAGGCTGGGTGGCTGGGAGAGTGTCCCTGTCCGGGCGAGTTCGCTCAACCGAGCAAGATGTGTGCTGTCAAGTAGATACCCCCGTAGCACTCGGAATCCTCGGAGCAACAGAAAACCCACTCCCTGATGTACTTTCCCCACACCTGGAATGCTTGTGTCATTGGCACTGCCCCAGTTTTTCATCTTTATATAATCTGGACACCAAATTCGTTGATACTGGGACGCTTTCCGTCAAAGATCTGCTCATCAGCCAACATGAGTCAAACATTGATGACCTAATCCCTGCAGGAGAATGATTTCTGAAGCAATCTGTTGTTGTTACATATCTGGTTTCCTTGAATTTTACAAGAGAGATTTTACTTTTTTTTTTTTTTATTTTTTTTTTCCTTTGGTGGCATAGAATGTACAATATTTAATATACCTGTAGTAAAGTGTTGAGTTATGAGTAGATCCTGGCAGGGCATTGTTTCTGTGTGTCTCTCATAAACACTGATTGATTGAGACATTTATCTCTGAATACACTTTTTACACTTCTTTTTTATATTGAACTTTTCAGCCTGTATATTAAATAGCTGATGTTATTTGACATTCATTAATGTAAGTGCTGTAATATACTTTTGTGTTACCAGTAATTATTACTGTCATTGTGCTAATTCTGAGACATTATTTCAACTCCTTTTGACGTAGTATAGTTACTTGGAATTTTTTGGCCTTTAAGAAAATTCCACACTAAATAATTGCTAGAATGAAGAGAACAAAGGGCTGTTTTTTCCCCACAATCTTTTCAACCTCAGTAGGACCTTCTTCAGCCAAAATGAGCATTTGCTTTTTCTTTTCCACTTTTTCCTTGGTAGTATGATAACAATTTGCTTTGTCTTCTAATCTTGGAAATTCTGAATGCCATTTCAACTATTTCTAGCAGTATTTTAGAAAAGCAGAGATAGCTGTGCCATAAGGAGTTACTGATCATTACAGGATTGAAATATTATAGTTACTTTGTTTTTCTTTATAAATATTTTTTTCCACTATTAAGTTTTTAAGCAAGTCTTTTCTTGGTGTGATAAAAATTGAAAAGACACTAAAGGTTTAAACACTTAACATGTACGAGGAAAGGGATTCAGTTAAATTATTTCCATCCGTATGAATGAAAAATAGCTTATAAAAGTTTGTCAGAACAAAAACTGTGCTTCAGTTACCTATTTCCTGTGTCCATTAACTAATCAGTGATTTCAGTGAAACCATACCTGTCCTTGAAACCAGGGATACACTTGATGACTCACTGAATCACAGCTTTGTAATAAATAAAGTTCAGTTTTGTAAAAGTAAGCTGCTGCTTAATTATAGTGTCTTTAAATCATTTCTTCCTTCTTGTAAAAGATGGAAATTTTATATGTTTAATCACCAAATAGCCATTTATCAGATAAAGAAAATAGTGCTTATCTTAATTGGAGGTGCTGTTTTATATTATGATGAAAACTGCTACGCAGGAGCTGTATGTTGCTATTTTAAATACCTTAGCTACATGATCATGAGAACAAAGATGAGAGATTCCAGGAGGAAGTTAGTTTGGGGAATGGACTTTTGGAAAACCGAAGGAGGGCTCAAAAACCAGGCAAGAGGTAAGGAAAAATATCTTGGGCCAACCACATTTAAAGTGTCATCCCACTGTTTTCCCAGAGGAATCTGATGAATTCCCCATGCCTTGTGTTGAAGCTTTACTCCTTTGTGTCAATGTTTTAGTGAGGTTTCTATTTTAATTTGTGTGCCATGCATATTCCGGTACAATCTGCATTTGTTACATATGATGTACATACTTTCTTCTACCTTTTATAAAAACATCTGTTTTATGAATAGTTTCTGTCTTTTGTAACTGACAGCTCATGCAAATAATAAACCATAAATCCACTTAGGTGTTGTCTTTCCATTTGGCGATGGTTTTTAGGTTAATATCCTAAGGCAATGACGCCATCTGCTGTTTGCCAGTCAGACCCAGTAACTAGGAACTAGGTGGCACTTTTCAGCTGGTTTGGCAGAGGGACAGAAGTCTCAAAAATACTGTTCTCACCAGCTCTATGAAAATAGACAGCTGGATAGAGGACAGAGTCCTACTTAATGCCTGTGCTAAGGGAAAGGCAGCAACATCAGCTGTGTTATATTACTGGACACTGGGGAATCTGCATGGGAGAAAGACAGCCTGAACCCTCCCACTGCATGAATAGCCTTATTGGAGCTTGCTCTTCAGACGTGAATTAATTGACCATAAAACACAAAGCGACGCGAATTGTGGAACTGAGAGAGCGAGCACAAACAGAGGGGACAGAGCCAAGACCAGAGGAGAGTAGAGACTGACTCTCTAGTTATGCCCGTGCGGAAATGATCATCAGCTTTGTGTACTGTCTTGTTTTTCTCAAAATTCAGAGAATCAATAACAAGGCGTACATCTATCTCAAAGTCCAAGAGTCGGCAGCTATTTGCTAAGGGACCCTATCTAAGAATCCCTGCTAATGCCGCGAGGGGGAAACAAATCAAATGACTGAGCCTTTGGCAAATGGTTTGGGGCTAGCTGAATCTGTCCTGTTCACTTGGTTTTGGCAAGGCGTGCTTATAAGGGGGAAGGTGCCTTTGGCTTTGAATGCCGCAACAGCTGTTACGATGATTGTACTACACCCCACAGTGATACATTCCTCTCATCTAACTTTAGCTATCTGAAAAGTAGACATCTACATCGGAGCAAGTTTCCCTTGGCTCCTTTTGCAGCCAAAGGGGAGAAACTGACAGTGCTAGGGACATCCATCTCTCCCTCCCTGCTCGTAGAGACCGCAATTTACTCCTCCTCTCCTGCACACCTGGGCTTGTTTCTGTGTTAGCCCAAAGGGCACACGTGCACTGACACAGGGGTGAGTCTTTGAAATTAAAGTGATTTGCTGTAGAAACCTTAGCTCTTGCTTTGTCAGACAGCAAAAGTGTGTGCTTGCTCCTGACCTCCTCTAGGTATTGATATAATTAGCCTTGGATCACGAGGCAAAATCCTCAAGGATCTGGATGTTTAACAGTGACTGATGCATTAAGTTATATAGACAAACGAACATGTTTGGTTGCTCCAACTTAGAAAGGAGCATGTGTTTGAAACACAATTTCTGTCATTCCTCAAGGCTTTAAGGTCACTTTTGCTTCATAAAAATGATGGCTCCTGAATGTATATCATTATACCTTGGGAGAGCTGTAAAATTTTGCACTTGTGCAATAAATGTATGTTTTGGAGATATGCTGAGTATTAGCTCAGCAAACATGAGACCCAAAGGTGGGGTTTAGTTCAAAGCATCTTGATTTATTTAGGGGTCACAGTTAGAGATTTTTTTTTTTTTTTCCCTGAGGGCTCTGTAGTTAGCAGAAAAAAACCCAGATATTTTAATGATGTAAATTGACTGGTTTATATCAAACTGAGAAACAATTATGAAAGCAGACAAACAAGCAACCCTGTCCTGTCCTGTGATGTTTCTCTGAAAAGAACTCGGAGCTTAATTGTCCCATCCAGGAAGACAACATGCTTGTAAATGTCACCAGGGGAGAAGGGAAATGTGCAACACAGCTCCAAACTATACCAGAGAGTAAATGCAAAGGGACAAACATCCCTAGCCAGCACAGGAAAAAAACGATCAGACATAACTACAAAAAATCCCTTTGCAGCATCGTGAGAAGTGACAAATATGATCTAGTTTCATCTGTGAGATGCCAGTTGGGTAAGACAGTATCCTGCAGTACTGATCTGGAGTCATCTGTGGATGAACAACTTGATGATTAAATGGTGCAACAACACAGTGCTACATATTTGCCCCTCCAACAAAGAAATTTAGTTCTACAAATGCCAAAGCCAAAACATAATTGCATCAGAAGTCCCCAGACACCTGCTGGGATGTGTCACTTCCTGCACTAAAACCCTGTGCTACAGTAAAAGCACAAACATTTTGTTGCAAATAGTTTGCTTCAGGAAATTCACAGGTGTTACAGAGATGGGAACTTTTCTGACTCTTAGATGGGCAGTGCCTGGTTATCATGTTACTCTGTAACCAAATGTGTCCCTCAAATTTATCCCTTTATCCATCCAGCTTTCCTCAAACTCAGAAACTGAAATAGATTTTTTTACTAGTTAATATCAAAATTGCATTCCTTTGGAGACATAGAACAACAAGCCAAGAGAATCAGCTGTGCCCTTTCCCATATCGCCCCTCACTTGTCTTACCTAGAAGTCTTAACCTTTCTAATTCTTCAGAGAAGCCATTCCATACATGTGATCACCACAATTTTCCCTAGACCTTACCGATTTTTGGCTGTTGTTTCTGAGCTGTGGGAGAGGAATCCTACAGTGTATACCTCAACAGAACACAATGTTATTGTCTGGGTTTGGTTCCCTTATTCTTTTTTTTTTCTGTAATTCTGAAAGATATATTTGTAAATCTCAATTTGACAAAAACCCTTGTGATTATTGTGAATAAACATGAGTATTCAAATATTTGTATTAAATTAGTATTTTTACTTCTATGACCAAGAAATAACTGTGCCAAGACAATGGTCTCTGCTGTCTGCACTGATGTGTTTAAGTAATAGGAATTAAAACACTCATTTTTAAATAACAAGGATGAAAACACTTGTATTTTTTTTAATTCTTTTTAAGCTGATAAGCAACATTTTACCTTTAGAATCAGTTGGTGTTTGGGCAGGAAAGACCTCTCTCCTTCTTGCTTACGTGTTAGCTAATCTGTGACTTCTGAAGACCTCCTACCCATCAGTCTACCTTAAATACCGTGTCAGAACCTAACACGCACAAAAATGTTTAATTCTGAAGTACACGGGATGATCTAATTTATAAAAATACTACTATAAGAGAGTTTTCCAAAAAGTTGGGATTTAACTTTTTGGTTTCTTTAAGAAAAAAAGCTCATTGTACACAACCTACGAGCATAATAACCCCATAAGGGGTATGGAGGGTGGAGGAGGGATTAAAAAATGTCTCAAAGAGGGAGGGAAAAAAGTCACCACTGAAATATAGATTATATGTAGAACTCAGTTACTACATCTTTTACCTACTGCCACAGTATATACGCACACCAGCTTTGACTGTATTAGGTTATCCTAATGGCATGACAACGCTTACGCTGATTTGATGAAGTTCCTGGGTTATACATGCCCATAAGACAGAGCTTTCAGAGTACTTGACATTACTGTACTGCCAGGATGACCCTGGACGCCTGCCAGCCTAAGCAAGAGTAAAGCTGTATTTCTTGATTCTGAAGCTATGAAATATTCATTACAATGTTTGAGATATAACAGCTTCTGTCCAAAAGTGAGAGTGCCATAAACAGGCTGTTTTTCCAATAGCTGGAGAGTTAGGCAGTCAGCAGTCTATAAATGCTCCATCAATAGATATGTTGTTTATTTTGACAAAGTAACAGATTGTATTTGCACTTGGAAGTCAACTGGCAGATGGGCTTTGCAAAACCTAGTGAGGGCAGACTCCACTCCTGCTGATTGGGGAAAGCTCTCTTTCAATCCAGCACTGCAAATTTTTGTATTGAAGAATGCTAGTTAGTAGTAATTCTTCCCTGAGCAACTAGATCTACACGGCCAGAACATAAAGCTACTGTGACCAAAAATGCTGGACTTTCAGTCATCTTCTGCATCACAAAATTTGTGAAGATATCTACCCTGCCAATTACTCACCACATGGTTCAGGTAACAGACTGCTTTATCACTTTTCCATTGCAACCTTAGTGTTCACCACTGCGCTCAGAGCAGGAGAGAGAACCCCTTGTAACTTAGCTGCTCTGAAAAAGCAGGCAGTTCCAAAAGTACAGAACAATTCATGCGTGGTAAATCTCAATTCAAATGTTGCCTTGCTCTGATCTGTTCTACTCAATTTTTTTTTATTCTTGTGTCGCAAAGCAACTCAGAATCTTCCAGAAATACCTGAAGCAACAAAAACTTACATATAATGCTGTTAACGTTTAGGTTGAGGATAAAGCTGGAGAAATAAACAGAGGTGAAATTTACCTTATAGTGGGACAATTAAAAACCACAAAGGCAGGAAAAATGGTGTTAAAATTCAGACATCTATGACCGACTTTTAAAAAAAATAAAATTAAAAAAAGTGGTACACTGTGCAGGTCTTTGACCACCTCCTCTCTCACACTTCTCCAGCACTCCTGCTTCCTTCAGTCTCCCGCTGCGGGGAGGCTGCGCTGTGGTTTGTGAGTTGCTGGCCATTCCTTAGCTGGTGCAAGGGTAGCCAAGCATCCAGCTTTTCTCCATGCTGGTGCTGCTTCCTGAACACAGAAACTCTTCCCAGGCTGCAATCCCCACAGAAATAATGTAAGCAGTAGCAAAAACCAGCTGCAAAATAGGAGATCCCTTCTCTCGTACCTGCTCTATAGCCAGTAGCATAGTGACTTGCTCAGGGACGTCACCACTCCTGGGATGTACTGTTCTTACTGACGATGTGAAAACTGGTAGCAAGTTGGTCTGGGTGATAAAGAAGAAATTGAGGAAATTAGATTCTTATTTCAGGGAACACAAAAGCTGTACTGGGAGGCCGCAGCCCCACATGCACTGGATGGGGTAAGCCCCTTCTAAGGCTGTGACATTTGAAAATCATGTTATATCTATGAAAGGCAATTGTGAAGAGGAGCCCCACCCTTACATTAGTTTATTTCACCTGATCCATCTGAATGGCACATACCAATGTGGTGGATGTGAAAACCACAAAATTAAAGCTGAAAATATGCCTGAATGTAAGGACAATATTGTTTATAAACAGAAAAATGTTTTTGTAAACAGAATGAGTTGTCCTAAGGTTGAAAGTTTGTCTCACATAGAAGACATTTTTTTTTTTCTTTAAAGACCTCCTACACATTTGTGTTGTTATCACACAGCAACTATTTGATGTTTATCTGTAACAAACTGGGAATGTTTTCAAAAATTTGTGATGCTTATTTTGTGTCATCTCAAATTATTTTTAATTACAAAGCTATGTACCACATGCATGATTGCTAGGATTAGTGGATGTAATTATTTGTATATGGAAACAGAAAAATGTAAATGCTCTTCTTCCTTTTTCACATGGGTTTTACATTGTCTTTCATTTTCATGCTTAGTACTTGAAAATTTTCTTTGTATTCCTCCTACCCTCCCAATATGGTTCAATACACTTACAGTTCTACAAATATCTTTTTCGTTTGCCAAGTTCAAAGTCTCAACAGGGAAGATCCATGTAAGATTTCCCTTTATGTGTAAAATAATTCAAATTCATACACATGAGTTTTTCTTCCATGGTTTCAAAGAATTTTGACCTTGCTTTCAAGAAGAAATGGGAAAGGGAATAGACTCTGAAGAATTAATCCACAGAAATGCCTTAGATCTCTTACTCATTGAATGGCTTGCTTAAAGAGGAAATGTATCTTTATTTCCATTTTGATGACACTGAAAATATAGCCCTTGTTACTGAAATACTTTACCCAGGGTCACCGAGCAGACGAGAAAACCCTAGGTTCTCAACTCACGCCCACTTTCATTGGGAGATGGTGTGGTCCATGATTACTGTAACCTGAAGGAATACTTAATCACTTTTTTTCCATACCAAATGCAAGTCTATACAGACACAAAAGTTTACTTTGGCAAAGCCAAAAACACTACAATGAATCTTTATACAGTGACAAAGTGAAAGCTGAAAGCACGAATGCTTCTTTATCACTCTGTTCTGTTGTTTCCAGCCACCCTCCTGAAGTAACATTGCACGGGAGTTGGAGTGGTCTGGGTTAATACTGTATCTCCTAGTGCATTACAATAGCCCCCAAATATCTTTCAGATTAAATCAGACTAATGATGCAAGATGTCCGTACAGGAATGATGATATAAACCCAATTTCACGTAAAAATATCCCCGATATCGGTTTAAGAGGTGTAGCCCTGTACTCTTCTGTTTGCATCAGTCTGCGATCACGTATTTGGCGCTGCCAGCAGACACACTGCGAGACTTGTAATACAATCGCTTATCGCGCATCTTAGATCTCAAGCTCTTGAATCCATGCAACTGTGGGGGAAAGAAAACACTCAGCTTTCATTTAGAAAGCGAGTTAAGTTTGCAGCCCTCGTGGCTGAGTTGAAAAGCTTGTGAACGCCTTAAACGCTCCAACGCAACAAGACACAAAGAGCTGCCGGTACTCTTTGTTACGGCCGTTTTAAACCAGTTTGGGGATGCTGGAATATTTGGATTAGACGCAGCGTACCAAAACGTGCGGGGTCACCTTGCCTAAGGGATCTAGGGATGGGCGGCTCCCTTCCTAACAAAACCCGGGCAGGGTGGGCGGAGGACACCTCAAAAGCTATCCTCGAGCCCAAGCTGGGACTCCCTTGAAACCTTTGCGGCTCCGAACTCCTTCATCCCCTGACCAGGGAAAGGATGGGAAGCCGGGCTTTCTTCCTTTATGCTCCCGACGAATGCCAGCCCGGCAGCTCCCGGGGACCGGGGGGTCAGGGGAGCCCTTTCTCTCCTGAGCGTGCGTGGGGTGGGGAGCGATGGAAGAGGCGGGGAGGGGGTGCCTGGGAGAAGGCGGCAGCAGCAGCCCTGGGGCCCGGGCAAGGAGGAGCGGCGCGATGTCTGGGAGGGCGGCAGCGATAGGGGGGTTGTTGCAGGCCCGGGCTGCAGTGACTCCTCCTAGAGGCGGTATGCGGAGCAGGAGGAAACCCCTTCCACCCCCCTCAAGAGGAGCCGCCGCCATCGCCATTGAAACATACAATACGGGAAGAGAGCCGGCGGCTGAGGCGGAGCAAGGGTGCGGGCGGGAGGTGGGGGAGGCAAAAAGGGAAAGGGGGGGAGGAGGGGAGGGGGGGGGGGGCAAGGAGAGGAGGAAAAGAAGGGGAGAAAAAAGGAAAAAAAAAAGAGGAAGGGAAGAGAAGAAGGAGGCGGCGGCGGGCGCCGGCAGGTGAGGGGAGCGGCGGCGCGGGGGGCTCCGGGGCCGCGGCGAGGCCCGCTCCCTCTCTCCTTCCCTCTCCCGGCCGCCCGACCCACCTCCTACTCCCGCCGCTGCTGCCGCCTTTCTCCGCAGCCGCCCCGGGGGTCGGGGGGGGGGTCGGGGGACGGACACCGGCCGGGGCCGTGAGGGGAAAAATGGGCAATGTGTGATGTGGGGGGCACGCAGGGCGGTGTGAGGCTGTGGGGAGCAATCGCCGCGGACGGCGGTTGGGGCGCGCGGGGGGGGGGGGGGGGGGGGGACGCGTGAGGCCTGCTCGCGGATCCCCGCGCGCCTGCGGCTCTCGCTCGCTGCCTTTCCCCCCCACACCCCCCCCCCCCCCCACTTTCGCCCCTCAGCCGGGAGAAGCCGCAGCGCCTCCCGTTCCGGGGACGCGCTTCTTCGCGGCCGACCCTCGCAGTTAGCGGGAGCGAGCCCGCGGAGGGGAGAAAGAGAGGAGGGGGGGGGGGGAAATTGGGGGGGGGGGGGGGGGGGGGGAAGCGTTTGCGCGGGAAAGCCAACGGCCACTCCCCCCCTCGCCGCGCCTCAAAGCGCATGCGCGGCCGGCAACGGAACGGCAGCGGCACCCCACCCGCCCCAGCCCCTTTCCTGTCGCTCACCGGCTGCGGGCCAATCAGCGCGCTCCCTTCCTAGCCCGGGCTGTGGTGGGCCCACCCCGCGCGGGTGTTGGCGGCGCTGGCCAATCAACTGCCCGCCGCCCCTAAGGACCGCCTTCCCGGCTCCGCGGGCGGCCAATGGGCGTGCGCGACGGTGCTCTGAGGGGAGGGAGGGGGCGGGGCGGACTTGTCCAGGCAACGGGGTGGCGTGCGCGGGGCGGGAGCTGCCGGTAATGGCCGCGTTCGGCGGTGTCAGCGCCGGGGCCGGGGGTGGTTTCCAGGGGCCCTTTGGTTCACCGGGCTGCCTCACGAGAACCTGGCAGCCCTCAGCAAGGTCAAAAGAAGACTCCGGTGGAGTCAACACCGAGGCCCAGCCCCTCGGCTTGCGAGCCACGGGCGTCTCTGTGAGGACCCCCGGGTTTTTCTGGCCTCGGTGTGCCCGTGAAGCTTCTTTCAGCACGGACGTGCTCTGTGTCGTTCAGTTTGGAGTAGGCTGAGGGCAGGGGATGTACTGCTTGCACCCTGAATAGCTCTGTGTTTGCACAGTCCTTGTGCCTTACAGATTTACCCAGGTAACAAGCTTTTGCTTTAGGCCTCCTGAGTTATTTTCACCAAGTGGCATTTGCCTGTGAATGCGCAGTCTAAGTTGACCTCTCAATATAATGTCTTTGGGTTGCTTGTCAGCTCCTAAATGTCCAAATAGATCTCAAGCTGGAGATGAGGAAAGTGTAGGCGTGTTGATAGCAAGGCGTGTCCTTGGTTTCAGTCTTTGACTGTGGAGTTCGAGTTTTCTCAATATTTGGAAGTCAAGACTCCTAGATGCCAAGCACACGTGAACCATCTGGAAATGGTGTCCAGTGTGCCTTTGGTGAATAAATTCGGTAGAAGCAGTTCTTGCAGAGACTCGGGTGTTAGGTCTGTGAGCCGGGACACTGAAGTCAGCCTCCAGCTGTGCCTGAGCATTTTAGCCTCTGGGAGCTTCTGGTGTAGCTCCCGGTGTAGCGTCCGCTTCTGAACCTCCAGTTGTACAAGGGAGAGCATTTGGCACACTGTGCTAAATTTTAGTCTGCCAGATGACAATGCAGCCACCTGTAAAGTCCAGAATTGTAAACTGTAATGACAGCTACTGTAATATGGCCAAGAATTTGCCTAATCATTGCTCAAATATTTACTGATAACCAGTTGCTACTGTGTGTTTCGTATTTGGTGTAGCTGTTAGCTTGCCTCAATCTTGTGTATGTTACGTGATGGGAAGAGGAACAGCCAGAATTTACTTTTCTCCATCAGTGTTGCAATGGTTTTGGTACTACATTGTGCTAACCTTTTACTGCTTTCTGTGATTTTTCTTACAGAAAAATTTAGATTTGATGTGTCTTAGGCATTTTGTGCTGCACTGAACTTTCTAATGTGCATCCATGCGTTCTTTCCAGATCTTGACATGTTATTCTCTGAAATTGTTTCCAGATCAACTTTTCAAGTTCAGGCACACTTGAAGGCAGCCTATGTCAGCAGGTTGTTCTTACTTTTTAAAAATTTATATGTTTCCTTACTGCCTAAAGGTGATTATGAGATTTTGTTCTGAGCGTCCGTGTAGGAAGGACTGGAAAGTATTTTTAAGGTTGCTTTGATAAAACTTTGTCTGTTGGGATGTGGTGTGGGATGCAGATTGCCCAATGGTGAGAGGAATGTCCCAGGGTGGTCTGTTGTTCCAGTTCCTTGTACAGCAGTCATCACTCTCTGCAGATAACCAAGAAAACGGGGTGGTAGTGTCTGTAGTGTCCTCCCTTCTGAGAGTGGCAAGGAGCTAGAGTTCTTTTTTCCAGCAGGCAGAAGGAAAATACTGCTGGTTGGTTTGGGCTGTGAAGAAGATTCAATTCACAGAGGAAGGCCCAGCTTGCAAAAGTCTACCCTATTTTCATCATATTGTAAAGAGCTCCAGAGATCTGGTAGCTACTAAATCCCCCATAGCAACACAAGGATGTTGGAGTCATGGCAGAGTAGGAGTGTGCCGTGACCAATTAAGGGACTGGAAAAATTAATTGCTTTAAATTGCCCAAGCCTCATGATGTCGTTGTAGCCAGATATAGATGCAGTTTGTCTTAACTCAGCAAGGATGGACTTCGCATAAATGGCATGGCTGTATTTTTTAATGCAGACTGGAGTTTATAAGGGCAAATGTGGAGACGGTGAGTCAGCTGGCAGTGAGGGCACTAATGTGGGTAGACTCAAGTGCTTTTCAAGTGGTAAGCCCTTGTCTCTTAGCTGTAGCACCCGAAAAGAACAATTAGGACAGCAGTGCTCAACTTGTAGCTCTTCAGCTGTTGCAGCTCTGGAGCAGCTCAGGCGAGAGCGTCATGTAACTGCGTCAGGGCTGAGCTGATGTGCCACCCCCAAGGTAAAACAAACCCCTGCCTGGGGGAGGCGTGAGTCCTCAGCGCCCAAACCCTGGGCGTAGCTCTTCCGTGGAAGAGAGCTTCCAGATCCCAAGGGCTGGCAGTCAGTCACCTGAGCCTGTGAACCATTCCCTTAGTGTCCACCCTCCGAGGGTAGATAGTTGGCAACCCCCTCGTACTGTGTTTATTCATCCAAGTTCACAGGAATTGTTTTCTAGTAGATGTGACTATGCCATAGCTTGCTTTTCCTACCAAAAATCGCCTCCCGCAGGAGACGAGACAAGAACATGCTGTTATGTGTGTCACTCCCCAGCATACTCTGGTCCATGTAAGCTGCAAAGAAGAGAGAGACAGTGTTAGCAGAGTTTTGAAACCTCTTTTGTATTTAGGCTCTTACAAAATTCCGCAAACATACCTGATCTGTTACCTGCAGCGTATTTGGAAAAATATTTTGGGATTCCAAAGGTTGCCTTGGCAGCAGGGGAAAAAGTGGCTGAGACTTGTGGTGAGAGAGAAGGGAAAAATAAAGGGATAGACAGGAATGGAAAGTTCAATGAGGCAACAGAAGAATGAACCAGAAGTGATTAGTTAAACAGAAATTTATATAATGCAACAGCATGCCCCAGAGCAGTGTGCTTAGTTATACAAATATGGTTTGATTTTCTATTACAGAGATCAAGTGCCACCATAGTATTTTCTGTGGATGTAATCTCATGATGTTTGCTTCTTTTTTTTTTTTTTTTTTTTTCTCTTTTTTCCCATTGCTTTACACGCAATTGGGATTTGGTGCTATAAGAGCAAATATATGAGGGGTTAGCTTAATATGATTTTGATACATCGTTGTTTGTAGTGTACTCTTTCAACAGTGCTCCCTGTAGGGATTTCAGCACAGGATGAAACTGTCCTACCGGTATTGCAGGAATCAGATCGTAGCCTAGTGCGTACATTTATTAAGTTCCACCTTAAAATGAGTTATTGTTGCTCATATTACTCATAAGAGAAGGCTGTTCCAGAAGTTCGCTCCTATGGCTAGAAACCTAATTCTCAGCCTATGTTTATTCATTAATTTGAATGTCAGTTATCACGAACTGAAAAGGACACTTTATAAAGATTAATCAGTAGCATAATATGGAATTGGAAGTTTAGAAAGGGTTTGTCACAAATTGCAAATTTTGTTGAGCAAGAGGGCTGGAGGAAGGGACCTCAGGAGATCACCTCATCTGGCCTCCTGTCCCCAGGCAGATCCAGCGCTGCCTGTGCCATTTCTGACATATATTCTCTAACCATTTTAAAGTTGTGCTGGCAGGATGATTCTGCCACCTCCCCGTCTGACCGTGTCCAGGGCTCTGCTCCCCTCCCTGTTACGCAGCTTTTGTAAGAGTCTTGCCCTCCTGTCACTTTTATAGGGAACACTTACTCCCGACCCCTTCGAAGCAGCCCTGTACGTCTCTGAAGACTACTATCATGTCTCTCCGCTTCTTTTCACCTTCACTTTTAGTTTGTGTCAGATGTCTGATCGGTCTCACCACCGTCCTCTGGATTCTCCTTGCTCTGCCTGCCTGAGGCGCAGTATCTGCGGTTGGCCGTAGCTCAGTGCTGCCTGCCCTCTTGCTTAAATGCTTCAGTGCGAGGTTTGCCTTTCCACAACAGCTCTTTCCACCCCACCCCCCCACTGTAACCTGCTGGTCCTAATCAGCCGAGCTGTTTCCTAGCAATTGTTCCCTGTCCTGCACAACTGGTTGCTCCTGCATTAATGCAATTAATGCATCGCTTAGGAATTTTTTTCCCCGCTTGTATCTGTTTGACGTGGCCCATTGCCTTTAATCGGTGCTTGCAAGCGGCAGTTTATGAGCTGTTTTACCACCACTCGTGATTCCAGGCTGGCAGTTTGCAGGGAACTTGGAGTGAGATGATGAGCAACAATAGATTATGAGGTGTCCGTGTCTGATAGGTTTACTGGTTTAATCTTTCCCAAGTTTTGTTATTGTGCCTACATAATACATTGCACACAGAAAGAAAAAAAATATCTGGGTAATAGACAAAGACATGGCAGGGTTTTATAGATCCCTGCAGACTCTGTGGAGATTTTATTTCCTTGATTTCGTAAGTGAAAGCAGTGTTCAAGTTAGGTTATCATAGAAACTGACCCTTGAGTTTGGCTGTTACAGA